GACCGATTTTTAACTAGTGAAAACCTGACGGCTCTTACCTGCGGTTGGTAGCAGTTGCAGGTGTGTCGTACACTGTGGTTAGAAAAGATGTATGAATTGCTCTAAATGATCAAAGGCTTGTATGACTGGCCTGAGGCTGATTTCAGCAGGACTGAAGTCGCATTTCCTGAGCAAAATCTCCCATTGCACCTGCCTTCTTCCCTATTCCTCAAAGGAGAGATTGTCATTGACTTGGCAGCTAATGCTATCGCTGCATGCAGCTCGTTCTTCGGGTCAAGGGACTCATTTCACAATAGCTTCTTCGAACTTCGCACACCGTGTCAACTCGGCCAACAAGAGCACTAACTTTCAGTCCTCACTTTCGTGGTATTTATGTGAGCTGTGTCACCCAGGTTCCCGTGCGGCCGCACTAACTCGGCTCTCGCTTTGCCCTCTGTGACCAACCTAATTCTCCCCACACAATATTGTGCGTGTACTTGTTCGAACCAGTTTGACGAGTTCTACTCAGTGCTCCCCAACTCTTAGATCTAACCTGTGTGTTTTCGGCATATTCTTTACCGAATTCCACTTGTGTAACTACATCAAACCGGTTTTTCGAAAAAGATTTTGGTCTCATTCGAAAGAAGAAGCTGAGGGCTCCCAAACTACGGGGCAACCATCCCTGCAAGTTGCAGCACAATAAAGCTACAGCCTTTTTGCTCCGCGCATCAACTGAGCAGTTCTAGGGACGCTTATCAGCGCCCCATCTGCATCGTCGCTTAAGGCAGGCCGATTAACAAACGTTGTCGCTTTGTGTGGGTGTTCACCTGCGAGCCGATTGATCGCTGAACCCGACAGTCTGCACTTTACGACCCCCATCTGCCTCTACCGCCTGACCTTGGTGCGGTTGAACAACTCTCGATTCGTGTGCGTTCTGACCTATTCGTGCGTCACCCCTGGTGCAAATAACCCTCATCAATGTCAGCGCTTAGGTAGCCCTTGCTGTAAACAATAAGAGGACGACTAGCATTCCAGTGGTTCAACGTCGCCTATGTTGCGCAGACAATTGCGGTAAAGTCCTTAAGATCAGTGTTACCTGTTCTAGCTGCATTAGATCGTACTGTCCGCAATGTGTAGGCAAATCAGTCCAAGAAGTGAGACAGACAAACCAAGTTGCTGACACAATCTGGTTTTGCCCAACATGTCAAGTCATTCCAATTGTCAACTGTTTATCTTTGCTCATGAAAAAGTGCGATAGGATGACTGGGATAATCGCGCATGTTGTAAATACTAAGATCGATCCCACGGAGGTAAATATGGCCACGACAATACCTCACCCAGCCAAAGTAAGCTCTGAATCTAAGCCGAAGAAGAGAGCTAGACGCTCCAACCGCACTGCAGCGTCTGTGACTCTCAATCCACTGGGTAACCTCACTCCCATAAGTGGACAAGCCTCAAACATGCCTGCTTCCACTTCTCCAACCATAGACGCTTCACTTGAAGATTCGGCCATGACACCGACAGCTCAGAGCCGAACGCAATCCGGTGCAGATAACAAGCAAGTAACGTACGCATCGATTGCCTCGACAAACACACAGGGAGCGACACACATAGATCCATCTTCAGTACCGAGCATGCGTGTCGCAAAGCAGCTTTCACCGTCAACTCCAGTGGTGCCTTCTAAACAACCCGAATTACCGGCAAAAACTATAAGGCCAACACTCGCTAGACGAAACCACGCTGCGTTAACTCTTGTGTGCACCAATGTTTCCCAATCCAAATCTGGCACAATAAAAGGCAAGTTGCAAGATGATCGCAACCAGTGGAGTTCCATCTGTGAGGCGATTGGTATTCGGGTTGAGCCTGCAATGCTGCAACGCGTAGCGCGTCACCCGATCTCAGTGCACTCTGATGAACCTCGAATTCTTCGAGTAACAATAGACTCAGCAGATGAGACAGAGGCTGTCCTGCTCTCAGCAGTTCGTCTTCGCAACTTACCGAGCGGAGTGGGCATATTGCCTGATCTCCCTTGGAAAGATCGCCCAAAAGAAGCAGTTGAGCAACGCTGCATTCCTAACAGGGATAGCAATAAAACAGTATTTGTTCATAGCTTCTGCATTCTTCTGATCACGATGCACAAACTCATAACCAAGAGCAGTGGTGCTACATCCGCGAAGCACTCTCTGTTGACAATGGTATTGCCAAATGCCTGACAAGAGTTCCGTCATCACCTAACTACAAGGGCTGCGGTCCAAGGCTAATGAATGTAATACTACACTCCGAGGGAATGACGCAAGTTCTGTTGGATAGCTGGTTAAAGTTTCGAGCTAGGTTGCCAACAGAGGCTAAAGGCAGCAGGCGAACGGCCAAAAGTTGGAAGCAATTCGCTGGAACTTGCAAACACTGCAAATTATTTATTTGCAGTCCTGCGGAGAGACCGACACAACAGGACAGAGTACAGCACGAGTGAAACGTCTGCTCAGGAACGCTCCATAATGCCATGCAACTTGACTGAAATACATAAAGCAAAAAAAACGATTAATGGCCGGCCACCTAAAGGCCGGCTTAAAAATTAACACAAAGTTGACATCCGTCAACGCACTCCTAACAACGAAAGCCCTATCTTGAATGTACACAAACGCCCAAGGGCTTCTAATCAAGTTGGCCGAACCGCGGGACCTCCTCATGGTTACAGAGACATGGTTAAACCTTGAGATAGCCGATTCTGAGATCAATTTACCCGGTATGTCGCTGCTTCGGACCGATAGAACCGGAAGGGGTGGTGGTGTGATTCTTTACCATAATACAAACCTCCGATGTGAAGTTATCGATCACCCGGAAATCCGAGCTCCCGATTCGCTTTGGTGCCGCCTTTGGTTGCGAAACAAGGACACATGTCTACTAACCGTGATTTATCGCCCACCAAACTCAACGTCGGAAATGGACTCCAAACTGAACCACGTGTTCCATTTTGCTTTGAACAAGTCCTACACCCACATTCTTATAGCTTGAGACTAACGTGCACGACACAGAAACGCCGGCAATCGACGATACACAGTTTAAAGCCTGTTTGCAAAAGCTAATTGCTAGCCACCCTCTGTACAACCACGTAACCTCTCGCACCAGATTTCGAACTGCTAACAAGCCGTCGATACTGGATCTTGTACTAACGAAGAACTCGTGGTTGACGGGATAGTTACAAGCACACCACTGACTAGATACGCTATGCGGAGTACCCTGAAAAGGAGGATGATAAAGTGTATACTGTCACGCACTACAATGTGTTAGCAAAGCTTGTTTAGGATACATCTTGGACTTTATTAACCGGATTCCCCCCAGATGTCGCCTGGGAAACCTTTACAAAGACGTTTAACACACTGGTTGCGCACTCATCGGCTCGGCAACGTGTTGCGCATGCCAGCCCACCGACACCCGCTAGGTGTTTGCTCACCGGGGATGTGGGTGGAAGAAGAGGAGAGGTGGCCAAGCGATGATTTGGTCCAGAGGAATGAAGTCTCTCACTTGGGAGCTGGCCTCGGTTGGAGCTGCACAGCTTCCTGGTTGGGGTCCAAAAGATGATAACACGTTTGGCTACATACACTTGCTGACAAGGCTAGAAGCCGACCTCAGTGGCGTTCGTGCTGTGAGTTTCTTTGTCCCTCCCCATCCCTTTTAGCTTCCCCCTCCAACCACCATCTCATTTCGTATCATAATATGATTTTACATCATAACTTTCTTGTTGCCTAGTAGCCGGCTGCTATGTTTCCGGAACGATGCCCATCCGTTGCTGATAGATTAGCTGGCATGCGACTGTTATATTTCTTTTCTTCTTTTACGTATTGTGGCACAGTAGTGGAGGTGTTTTACGCCTCTAGCTAACATGTGTAATGATATATATATATATATGATGGGTTTAAGAAGGAATTGCGAGTAGGCCTGCACTGCGTGATAATGATAAACGATTGGGTCAGGAAATCACCGAATAAGTACTGGAAGTCGATCAATTGACTATATTAAGTTATCATTTTAGTACCCGTGTTTAGACCACTTTAAATCCTACTTCAAATATCAACAGGTTTCACGTTGTTTTTTCGTCTAACCTCTCATCTATGCAGTCGGCGGAATATCGATATGCGTATGGAATGTTATTCATAGGTGATGGGAGCACAAGTGCTCAATAGTGAGGTACAGGAGTCTCCGGTTGTCGAGTTCAGATCACCCGAAGTAAATATGAGTTGACTATGGTATGGTGCATGCTGTCTTCCAGTATGACGGCCTTCGGTTTGGCCATAACAGTGATTCGGGAGTATTTCTTGAAAGTTATTCCAAGAACTCATTTAGCGTAAGTGAAAAAATCAGACTCGATTTGCTGATGGTCATTCCGATCAATAGAATACTTCGATAAACGGAAAACAAAGAAACAATAGAGAGTAAGAGTATCATCTTTTGGCAGGCGATACCCAAGCGCTCATTTCTCGAAGGGTATCCGATTCGAGGATTTTCATATATAACCTTTTAAGTTATAGTCTGAGCACCTGCACGAATGAATTCCGCGATTAAAGGTTATCCCACAGTGCACCTCTGATTATCTGAAAACTTCCTAGCGTTTTGACTCGCATCAAATTCCCGTGATCAGAGATGCGTCTTTTTGATTTTAGGTGTTGCATAATATTTGAAGGATGATGAGTAACTTTGTCTTATGCACAGACACCTTGCTAAAATCTAACCGTTTCAAGGTGGTTCAAAGCAGTATAAGATGATGTCATTTCAGATGCAGATTACAACACAAAAATATGGATGGTGAAAGATGGACGCCGTCGGTACGACATATGACCCATCTCATGGAGCCGGATCTCGTGAGTTATGTTGCCTGGATGAAACTTCCTCGTCCAGTGGAGAAGTTATCGTGAAACTTAGAGCATATCCTTGCTCTTCATGGTGTTTGTGAGCGATCTAGTATAACAGACGCCTGATAGTTTCCTGGACATGCAGCCGAGTTCTGGCGAAACCTACCAAATGCGTCACCAAAAATCTAGAGTCAAACTAATGCATCTTTCATATTGCTCCGAGCTGTATAACAAATCCCGTAAATAGCATCATTTTCTCTCATTCTCTCTCTCCATCAAATTCTCACCCATGGTTCCTTGTTAGACAGGGGATAAAATCCGTATAAGCCCAAACAACGGTATATGAGGTTGAAAAATGGAGAATGCGATGTGAAGTAGACAGGACATTCGAAAACGGTTAGAAGAAGTGGCGAGGACCCGAAGAGTTCACAGTAGGTGTGTTTGATGCTGAGGAATTGGCGCTAGCCTGGCTGGTACGAGGAAGAGGGGAGAAGTTACCGGGTTGGATGCCCAACTTTTGCATCTGTTGTTGCTGATGGTGATGCTGTTGCTGAAAGGCAGCAGCGAGGGTGGCTGTCGTCAAGTAGTTGAAATGATTTGGCTCCCCGGCGTAAGGTGCTGCTAGAACTGCAGTTAGAGCGAGAGGAGAAGTGGACGAGGAGAGCGAGTTGGCACCGGAAATGGTAGCAGAAGAAATGGCAGAATAGAGTGCGTCTGCGTTCAGAAGAGTAGATGACGAATTCGTGACCCCGATAGAAGACATGAATGCGGCTACATCACCAGGACGGCCATGGTTTAATGTGGATGACCTGTTGGTAATCTGAGCGGAAGCCGGGGTAGCATGCTACATAAGGGAAAGAATGTAAAGTGACGAAAGACACTACAGATAGCATACAAATGGTTGTAATTCATCTGGGTATCATCCTTGGACTATCTCTAATACGTTAAGTAGATGCTGCAAAATTATATGAATTGCAAAATGAGCGAGGTAAAGTGGGTCCGTGTCAAACTGACGGATAAATGACAGGGCAGGAGAGGAAAACCGCGGTCCGCAATTCGCATCCCTGACAAGTAACCGCCGTATTTTAGCAGCGATGAGGGAAGGTGACCCATGGTGTTCCATATAACTGGAACCAAATCACATTGAACCCCATGATGCTTTTGCTCGGCTTAGCAGAAGATTGTAACAAGATCACCAACTGAAACACTGAGAAAAAAAGTGGCCCACGGACTGAATCAGTTGTAGACGACTCGCAGTAGCTGTTAGGTTCATTTAGGGGTTTCTTAAATTCGTGCTACCGATGGCCTGTAACGTCAAGTGGCTGTACCTGCGGAAAAAACCGCTGTGTAAAATGGGGTTTCCGGACGTCATCATCAAACCACAGATGGTGACTGGATTTCTAAGGCCCAGAGAAGGGTATCTCACCCAGCTCATTCTCATGAAAATTGGGATTTAACTTGGTGCATCGGAATTAGATTACAAGACACAACGGTGGGTTACCAATCCGGAAATGCATCAAACGGTTTTCAGTGGTGCGCATCCCCTCGGTCACCTGCTAGGGATCGAACCCATGAACGCTAGTGGCTTCCATCACTAACCAGCCGCTTATGCCACTGAGCCATTGGGGGAGGATAACGGAATATCACGGATTGAAATTTAACTGCGATATTTCCTGGCCCATCCTCAACTGTCATTCAGGTTATTACCCTAGCAGAAAACAGTGGTTGGCCGTCCGGATCAGGGATTCCCTTGCCAGTGCCAACAATCTGTGGTCGATTGAAATACGACGTGGGCCTGTGGCCAAAGAGATTAGGCGCATGATTTGTAATACAAAGGCCATCAGCTTGAATCTCCAATTGCTTGGTCATGCGTTATGCATGCCACTACACCGACTCCCGTGACGTGCGTTGTTTGCGTGACCGGGATCTGCATGGAAGAAGAGGAAGGGAAGCCAACTGATGACTTGGTCAGGAGAGATAAAGCATCCCAATTAGAACTTGGTCCATGTTAGAGCCCGAAAAACGATGAGCCCATTTGGTTGGAGACACTTGTTAGCGTGGCGAGGTGCCGAACACAATGTCCCCATCCTGATTAGCTCCTCTCTAACTCCAACAATACTACCGACGCATAAGAATAAAATGGAGAACATTACATGTTTCTGTCTTGTAATTCGTACCATGCATTACTGTGCATTCTCTTTTCCCAATGTCTTAATCCAATGTATTGCGGCACAATAGCTGAGGTAATCCTCAGCTCCAGCAAACGTGCAGAATGATGTGCGGAAACCTAGCCATCACTAATCCACGCACAACTGTTGGTGGCCGGGTGGCAGAGAATCGTCGCTACGGCGTACAAGCGATCTACTGACGCCTTGTTACCAAATGTACAAAATGAATAGAAACCAGAAAAAGTAAATGCCAATTTCTTGCTTTAGGTTGGTGAGAGGTTAATTGATATCCACTCAAAATAGTCATGAAACGTAATGGTTAACTAGTTATAAGCTGAGTTCGATGGCGAGAAAAGCGAAGTTTTGTATGACGATGGGAGAACACAATCTTCGTCAACTTGTCTGACGCCATCCAAACCAAGCTACGTACTCTCTATTGAATGGGCTGCAAACCAGCCTAAGCTTCCCCGCGGTTGAATGTGATCGCTGGGCGGGCAACATGTACATTGGGCAGTGTGGCCAACTTCAATCAGATGCCAGCGGAAGAGTCTAAAAGCATAGTACGCAAACGAACTTGCACCCAGCCGTCTAGTGCATCAGACTACTGATCAGAACACTGGATATGTATATACAGCAGAGTCGAACTCCAATCTTGAAATGAGCAACTGACCACAATTATTCGCTGTGCATTACGCTTCTCTCGTTGCATGAATAACCATATTAGTGTGCATATCATTGGATTAATCTGCGTCGGTCCACATATCTCAACCTCTGGTAGCACAAGTCACTGATTCTATCCCAGCCATGTATACTGAATTCCACATAATGTTCACAATAAATTTATTGCCTAAAATAGATCCGGAAACATTAGGAAAACTGAGCGGGGCGTATCATAGTATGGGGATAAGAATGAGGCAGTTAGGAAATGATAGCCTACCCATAAATAACTAAATTGCAGATAACCAGAGCAAACGATTGGTTCGGTTCATATACATAGATAAAACCCGATAAAAGAGACAACGACAACAGTACTGAGCACACTTCAAATGAAGACGTCGCGTCAGTGAGGAGTGATAGATTGTCATCGACAACAGACAGTGCATACCCGTGCACGATTGCTGGTTGATAGAAAACTCATCCTGAATTTCGAATCAGCATTAGTGCGTGGTCACCCAGCACTGAATCCGAGCCTCAACCAGACAAAATCCGTAAAAATCTTTCTCGAATAGAGCTGCGTGCCAGCCGATACTCAAGAAGGGGGCTGACAAGGCACATACCGAGCTACCTGAAACGAAGTAAGCAGAATTCTTTCGAGTTCTCTTCATTGTGTGCTTTGTTGTGAGCGACAAAGGGATTTCTCGTGTGCCGAATACATATCGTGTGTGGAAGATGGCTCCACTAAGTAGTTGATTGCATAGCCTTATCCACACTTTAAAATCGTTTTAAACCGTCGCGAAATGCAGCTTGGCTTCAAGAGGACAATGTAACAGGGACTGATAGAACAGTCGCCGAGAAGGAATACTGTGAGCGGAACAATCAGAAGATGGAACAGTTGATTCACTCTCAACTCCTACTGCTAGAAAGTTAAGCGGTATATTTTGACCTGAACTTTGGCGAGCAGACTGCCATTATAACTGGCTGATTCAAATGAACTGCACAAAGTGTTAACGCAACTCCTTCCAGAACTGTGTTTCGATGCCAGCCGGCTCTATTGAGGCAGGACGTCCGGTTGGACTCAGTGATATCACTCAATCCTTACAGAGAAGCAATGGTAACTAATCGGTGGTTGGTTCATCCGCCCGGACATATCCTAGGAGTATGCGTTGTTCGGTAACCCCCAGAGTGAAACAAGGTCAACGTACGCTACGTCAGAAACACAGCAGTATTAGTGTAAACGTCACCACTTCCCAGTTGTTCATGAGGATCCTACTCATACGGCTGTCTAGTACTCATAACAGTAAGATGAACGAAACCTGAACTGACCACCTCGATAAAAGATGCTGTACTCTTCGTGTTGGATTTCTTCGTTCATTGGAAGTATTTCGTGGAAATTTAGATAAAATTCAATTTCATTTCTGAATTTTTTGACCAGAAATATGTGTGTTTTCATCTCTTGGTTTCGGCGATCTTGCTATCGCCATTTTCCCCAGCAGTTGGCCGCCATCGTGTTTTCGGACTGTTCACAATGCCGAAGAAATCACCCTGCGGTACTTGTTCCAAGATAGTCGGATATCGTGCAAATGCTCTCATGTGTGTTTTGTGCCAAGTTAAATACCACATTTGAGCATCTTCATCTTCTTCGTGAAATCAACACAATTGCGCTCAAACGTGATGTGAAAATTGCCGAAAAAAGATACAGTCCGGAAGACTAAAGTCGACGTGTAGGCTTCATCATTCCGTTGCGAACAGCTCCGTGTGTTTGACCCAACAACCTGGCCCGAAGAGCCTTCAGGTTTCAGCTTAGTCTTCCTCCTCTACCCGTGCGAACTAACCGGCACGAAGCCCAACTGTTGTGAGAAGCCCAGTTTCACCTGGCAATAATCGTTTAACTTTGTCGTGTCCAACGAGTACTGATGTCCCAGCAGGTATAAGTCTGAATGCTGAACATCAGTGGAATAAACAAAGAACGGAGTTACGAAGGGATGTTGGGTATTTAACTTCTGTAAGTCAACAGTTAGTCTAAACCACGTGGGGCTGGCAAGATCCCCCGCAAGGTTAACTTCGTCCGACCAGAGGCGATATAGCCTCGTGATCTTCCGCACGCTGGAGTCGTGATCCGTCACCCCAAGTGCGCTACGATCAAGATGTCGAGGTTTTACAGAGTCTAATTGACAGGCTCCTCGATGCTGGTGAGGACTCGGTAAAAATGAGGCAAATTAACCGTCTTGAAAAGCAAGGTGATCAACATAATCGGCCAATGAGAAACTTCTGTGGACGAAACTAGTCCAAGACTGATCAAGTCCCGTCTAAGTAGGTTGAAAGGTTGCAAGATCTATATTCGTCCAGACCTGGACCCAGTAGACAGGGAACGGCTCAAGTCTGCCATCATTGAGCTGAAAAGACGTACTGGTGAGGGGATACTGTTATGGTTTCGGCTGACCTACCGATGACCTGCTGCTAGCGTGCACTCTGACTAGCCCAACTTCCCAAAGCAGGAGACCGGCGTACGGCTGGCAAGTATATTTTGCTTAACGTCCAACTAACGGTACATTCAAATTATGGCCAAATCAATAGCCCTCAGCGTAAACGCTCTCATTGGCTGGTTCCGTCCCATTAACACCTTCCCCCGCAAAAGTTGACATAAGACTTCATTTTTGGATCCAACTGCATTCTTACGACAGGTCTCCGTAGTCGATCAGTACAGCGCCGGGTCTGGACCTTCGGTTCCTCTGAGACTTCTGTGCGGGGTGCATCCGAATTGCTTTGGGGATTAGATGGCATGTCGAAACTCTCTAGTAGAATATCTAACGGTAGTAACCGAGCGCCATTGCCCGCAGGGATGCTAGTTGGTCGCAGCTGATCGGAATGCCTGGTCCAAATCAAATTACCCACATTAACCTCATATAGCACCTGTCCAATATTTCTCCGAATCGATCCTACCACCCATTGCGGTTTTCCCGCGCGATAGTCTCTTACCAAGACACGCTGTCCGGGGTAAAAGCGGCGTGCTTGAGTT